TTAGGAAACAAAACTTCCAGAACACGGCCACACAGCCTGGAAGACCCACACCAGCCATTGTGTTCTGGCCGTGAAAGCCTTTGACAATACAGTGCATTATTGTTTAGCAGACAAACCACATTGATAGTGTAGACCACAAAGAACAAAGGAATTAGAGATAAAACTTCCGTTGAAGATCTTTCTCGGTGTCTACATTCCATCTTTTCTTACATATATGCCCAAATTTTGTAATACAAATGCATTAGCCAATCAGTGAGTATTGCAAGTTTGCAGATTTGCTGCAATTATGTATGTATAAGTGATAATAAAGCACTCTGTTGTCTTAGGCCATCTTATCCTGCGGGACAGGTCCAATGTCCATTGTTAAAGACTGATTGCTTTATGATGAAAATTCATTAATCTCTCAACACATAGACAAATTCAACCACCTTTTCAACTGGGAAACTAGTGACATTCTATATCAAGGCCTAAAAATAAAAATGCTATGGAATTCCTGGAAACTTGACATTCAGACAAATGAACCATCACAGACACATGAAGTTAAACCCCAACTATACACCATTTAAAAGATACAGCTCAAAGTCAAGGAAGGAAGCCCTGAGCACAACCTCCTTAGCAGATAAGCAGGAAACCCTGCTAGATAAACAGTCAGGGATGAAACAATGTCCTAAGCAAGGAACCCAGGAAAAAACCATACCTCAACCAAGACTGGCAAGGCAAAAGGCTAGCAAACCCCAGTCTCCCTCACACTGATGATGTTCCGCAGCCTGGTAATGAAACGTCAGCAGGAAAGCAACCAAGCTCAGAGGACACCAAGAACCAATGTTTGTGTTTTAAAATAGCAGAGTGTAGTTTCCATTGTATTGCTTCCTTTGGCAGAGGACAGTCTATTTGGCCTTCAATTTTAGTCTATGGTATGAAATTTGGATTCTGCATTTTTCTGCAGAAAAATCATGGGCAGGTTACAGAGTAGCATAGCCACCAGCATTCATGAACTTGAGGGCCTACCTCCATTGATAAATTGGTGTTATTTACCCTCCTTGAGTCAACAGAAAATATACTGGTATAACATTTGTTGTTCCCACTGTAAATCCCCATCCTGCATCTGTTGCTTCTGTTTTGGCTTGTTGCTGAATGATTATATCCTGATTTCATATATGCAGGACATGATAAGCAAAGCAGTTGGTTAAACCATCTGGCTATGCTGCTCTTCCCTTTTCTGAATGTCACCAGGCAGTGGGAGATTATCTGCCGATCACAACACTTCAAGAATAGGGCAGGGTTTGACATCTTATTTATTTATTTATGACATTTCTATACAATACTGTAAGCAGTGAGGTCTGAGGCCACATGTTCTCCCTGTTGGCAAACAGGGATCATATGGAGACGGGAACGTGGTGGATCGAGATCACAGTCATAGGCATACAGTCCCACAAAGGCACAAACTCTAGAGTTATTGACGTTCCCAAGTTTTGAAAAATGGCTAGAACCAGACTTCCTGCTTTCATTTTCAGCAAGGGTTAAACACTCTTTCAAAATGTCCACACCACTGATAGGCCTGCAGCCTAGAGAATGGTGGTGGAGGAGAATGCCCAGGGGCTGGAGGGGAGCAGTGTGCTGATGTGTGTAAGAGTAGCTGGGCTGAACCCAACCCGTACGGATTTCCTGATGGTGCTGCCAACTTAATGGTGGGCAAAGTGCATCAGAACTTACACATCTTGAAAATGCTGTGGGTTGCTTTTGGCTTGAGGTAGCAGAACGTAATTCTAGTACAGTTAAGGGCAGTTTAAGAAAGTCTCATGAATGGCTATCTCAGAATAAGGGCATCGCAATTTTTTTTTTAAAGTAGGGATGATGTCAATTAAAAAACTCTTTAACAAGGATTCTACATACTAGCTGGAAGAACTTTTTTCTGTTGAATCTTTTTTCCCCCTCATCTAAACCCTGTTGGTGGGAGAAAGAAGTTTAAGAAAGGCATCAGAAGGAGGAGGGTTACTGTCTCCCTATCATCCCACACTGTTTATTACATTCCCCATCCAGCATACAGGAAACTTGTGTACACAGTTCATATTGTGTCCCATGGATGTTGCATACTATGTTCAGTAAAATATGTGTTGTAAGCAGTCATCCTGTTTTATTGTAGTGCATAGAAGTAACCACAGACATATTCATCCAGATATTGAGATGAAGGTAACTGATTGCACATCTGCATGGCAAATGAGGATTCCCTGGAAGCATCATTTCCTTGCCTTCAGGGGAATACTTGCATAGGTTATTCTCTGCCATGCTACGTGGAGAAGTGATCTGAATTTTATCCATGTCAAGCAAACCTCCTGGGACTTAATTAAAAGTTTAATTAAAAGGGGCAGAGTCATATGCCAAAGAATGCCGAAGGATGCTACAGGTTTTCTGGATGGAGAGAAGGAGCCCAACAGAGAAAAATGTTGGGATGCTAGGCCTACTTTCAAATTACTATGCAAATGAAAATATATGGTGCTTGGGGATCATGGAATACACACACACACACACACACACACACACACACACAAATGCAGTGCTTACTGTGTACAGAACTGCAACTAAATGGATTTAGTACCAAGAATAAAGAAGTTTAGAAAGGTTGAGTATTGTGCATCAGGACTCAGAGGCAATATCTAGTTGTTGCAATAAAGTTACTCCACTGCTGTGCCCAGACATTATCCTGAAGTTGCTATTAGAGTGCTGGGGTAGGTGGCAGCGTGGCAGTAACACAGAGAAGGTGCTGCAGTGCACATGCCAGCATTGTCTGTGGCAGATCATGATGTCACGGTCTGTATACCAGGCCACCCAGTTTGCTCCACTGCAGCTCAAGGAAGGGTGTTTGTATGACCTCAGTGGCACACTAGAGCAATTCCTTTACTAGAATAATTCAAAGGTGTCCAAAACATGCAAGGGCAATATTTCTGTGAATTGAAGAGTTTTTGTCTCCATTTTCTTACGCTGCATAATTTTCTCTGTATTGCTGGACCTTCAACACGTCTTCCCTTTGGGTTCTGAAATTATATTAGAAGTTGAGCATGCATGGCCCACTCAGGCTCTGCAGCTCAAGAATCAGAGCCTTGGAGCATGGACCATCCTTTTCCAGGCATTCTGATACAAGTTCATAAGAGAGATTTCCAAGGAACATCTCTTGCTCCAGCTTTCAAACTAGACATGAAGCATTGGCTGGGTTCACATGAGATGATGACAATGTTTAAATTGATATGGTGTTTAAGGTTTTTTTTCCCCTCCAGCAGCAATCCTTTGAGGTAGTTTGGGCTGAGAGAGAAACTGCTTGGCCCAAAATCACCCAATGAACTTTTGAGGCAGAATGTCAGCTTGAACCTGGGTCTCCCTGGTCCTAGCGTAACACTTCAGTCACTACATCACAGTGATTGATTTGTTTTAGCCATGGTTTGTTGGATAAGCCACAAGGGCTGGGTTCAGATATCACTGAGCCACAAACAGTGGCTTACAAATCACAGGGGCTGGGTTTGTACAATACTCAAGGCCAAATGTAAATGACATTATGGTTTTATGCATGTGTGATTACAGCCAATGTGTGTACCTTTATGCCATTCCTTAACAAGAGCATAATGGGTGAACATACTTTAAGTCATTGCTCAAATAGTGTATATCTTGTAGACATTCCCTAGATTGTTCTGGGTTTTTTGGTTGATTGTTTATTTATTTATGACATTTCTATACAATACTGTAAGTAGTGAGGTCTGAGGCCACGTGTTCTACCTGTTGGAAAACAGGGATCATATGGAGAAGGGAATGGGGTGGATTGAGATCACAATCATAAGCATACAGTCCCACAAAGGCACAAACTCCAGAGTTATTGACTTTCCCACATTCAAATAGAGTCATGCTGTTTGAGTTGGGTGGCTTCATAAATCTTGTGAATCATCATCATCATCATCATCATCATCATCATCATCATCACCACCTTGGTGCACTCTTGTCCCAACTTTGAACCATATAGTTGCTCCATATTCCATTCTAACTGTTGCTTCCTCCTTCTCTTCATATAAATTACTCAACAGGCAAATGAGGCACCCATTTTTAAGGGCTATCCACAATTTTCAAGTACCACCCTTTAAATCCTTGACAATTCATGCCTACTTGAAGCTATCCCTTGGCAGACTTATCCATATCTCCAGTCAAAGCAAATACCATGAACAGCTGAAACGGAGGAGGATCATTCCTAGTTAAACTAATGTATGTGAGTATGGAAACATCTAAGTGCAAGTATAACTATAACTGGCATGCAGTAGGCAAGAAGGGAATATATACTCTTTTATATGGATCATATATTATAATAATGTCATGCAACTGTTTTATTTATTCCAAAGTAATGCATGCTTAATGTGAGTGTTACAATTTCTAGCCTTTACCCGTGTGGATAGGGGAATCCCGAGTGTTGAAACACAACATTTGGAGGGTTCAATTTAGGGAAGGCACCAAAAAAAAAAAAAAAAATTGGTTAGGTTCAGAATTGCCAGAGGAGGTCTGCAAGATATCATATCTTTCCTGCTTCCTTTTCTAAAGCCTTGATCCGTGTCGGTGCATGGAACCCAAAGGCTTCTTTAACTTCTGAAGAGGAATCTCAACCATCACTGTTAATGCCAGTCCTAACACAAATGTCATCAGGCAGTGTCCAAGGAACAAGTAGAACTAAAAAGATAAGCACAAACAAAATAAAAGCTGTTTGGTACAGTAATGTATAGCAGTTCTGGACTTCCAGCCATTGATGGAGAGCTTCAATTAAGTAGCTATGCTCAACACGGGGGAACATTGCTGTAGGCAGTGCTGAATCAGAACAGGGAAAAGGAGGCCTGATTCCAATGTGCAGAAATAAATGTTTCAAGAATGAATGAGATCAGACTGAAAATGAGAAACTGAATCTTTGAAGCTATCCTTTGGAAAATCAACATGCCCTAAGTTCCTGCCAAAGGAATCATACACATGTATGGGCTTCAGTCACCTAATCACACCTGCCATTTTGGCATAGGTAACAGCCCCTGAAGATGCTTCTGGTTCTGATGAACCTCTTCCCTGATATACTTATCAGGAACCTTTCTAAATAAAGAAGCTTTCAATATGCAGCCCCCCCCCCCATATTTTCTGAAAAGTTAGATGCTAGGAAATGTTATATGCTAGGAAATGCTATTTCCATCTGCTAATTCTGATCCCAAATCATGGGTAAGCAAAGCTTTGGGCCAGAGGCACATTTGGAATTTTGAAGGCATGAGAAAGACAATAACAAAATGGCTACAATGGGAAATGTGCTTGTTCACAAAATGGCTGCCATAGTGGGCATGGCCAGTCCTAACACCGATTTACCAGAAGGCAAATTACCCTCTTTACCCTCCCAGTGAGACCTCTGTGGAGCATAAGCTTTTGTGCAAATAAATATGATGCTAGAGGCTGGCTCTTTTCTTCACAGCATACCAGCTTCCTGTTTAATATTGTACTGTTTTTAAAAGGTGGTACAGGAAACCTGATGAGCATCAAGGGCATCGCCCCTTGGGCACCACACTGCCTACCCATCTCCTAAGTTAGGGTGGTTTTCTGCTAAACATCAACATCATATTCATTTGGATAGAAAGAAGACAACTGAAATCGGGTATCAATGGTGAATTTAGGAGCAAGTATCAATAGTGCTGGCCCAAAATGGAGTGGGAAGCATTTTTCATTTTTCTGCCTTTACCCCATTTTTGGGTGAAACAGTTTAGAAGAAGGGAGCATTGGGAGATAGAAATGGTAATGTATGTCTACTGCCAAGTCAACAGGAACTCTGTCACTCAGCCCAGTGATTCTGAGTTAACAAATTAGAAGGTGGGAGAGAATTTAATCATGAATGCAAACTGAGGCATATCACAATCTAGAAATACATCTGAAAGATGTACTGGTGGACAATATTGCAAATATTGACATATGTAACTAGTTTGCACAACTCTAGATGCAATGAGAAAGTCATGTCCATAGACCAGTATTTCTCAGCCTTGAGAAATTTAAGGTGTGTGAATTTACATGCTGGCTGGGGAATTCTGGGAGTTGAAGTCCACAACATCTTAAAGTTGCTAAGGTTGAGAAACACTACCATAGACTGATGGATTAAAATGGGCAATATTGATCTCAAGTCAGTATGGATATGTCTGTATTGGGAATAGAAAAAGACGCCCAGAGTCACCTTGTGTGAGATGGGCAGCTATATAAATATGATAAATAAATAAAGACCCACCCTTAATTGGATATTATATAGACAACACCTTTGGGGAATTGCTGATTGGTGACTTTATGGACTTTCGCTGCCTTCCCCCAAGAAAAGATATTGGATTTTGGGATAGAGAAAGGAACAAAGTAGCAACAAAGGGGTCTTTGCCAATCTTTGTGCAGACATTGAAATTGGATTCTTATAAAAAGAAGCTCTAAAAAACCTTTGTGAGCATTCTGTTCACTAAAGTGTAGCCATTTTTCTTCTCATGCATTTTTTGCACTCACCATATTGATGTCTGAGTAATGTATCAAAGTTTCCTGAAGTCCATTATATAGCAGTATCATCATTGGATGCACCAGATAGCAAGCATAGCTAATTCTTGCGACCACAGTCCAAACGCCCCATGAAAGCATTGTGTTGATGAATCCTGCCAGGGGAAACCAACATAAATCTCTAAGCAACAAGTTGTAGTTGTCTTCCTCAAAGAATAAAATAATTATTTGATTTGCTGCTGAAACCCACCAAAACCACACCTACTTGGAGACCTTGGTCACCCCACTGGCTTCAAGCCTAAGGCAGGACTAGATCTCACAGTCTCCTGGTTTCTTCACCACTACACCAAACTGGCTCTTTACTGAATTAATGAATTAGCTTTTGAGGCCAGGCTTCTTAACAGGGTGAAATTAGTTTTATGTTGTCTTTACATGTTGTTAATTCTGACACTGAATATTATCAGTTGCATTTTGTTGGGGTGTGTTGTAAAGTAGGGCCCTTCCCTTAATTGTGTAGAGACACCAGCTTCACTTGACTTCCCTCTTTCTATCGATAACTATCATATATAAAACATTCTTAGAGTTAATTTTTAGATGCTTCCACCAATCAACCATTTTAGAAAATTATAAACTTATTTTGACTCAGTTACCACTAATAAGCGCAAAACGTCTGCTTTTATATAATTTGATCATCAAAGGATAGAAGCTCATATTTGGTCCTAGGCTCATTAGAAAACAGTTTTATAAAGGGACTAGAAATAATTTTTCACCCCAATACCAGCTCAGATTTTTAAAAATGTATAAAGGGGCTATAAAGTTAAGAGGGTAACCCTTTCTCTCAGTGAAGATTGCAATGACTTGTTATATCTGGATAGATAGAGGAAACGTGTATTTTTTTAAAACAGAAAAACTAACCCATAGTCAGTGAATTGTGAAGCAATGGCTAAGAATCTCTAATCCTTTTATGTAGCATTATTAAATATTTTCACTGTTCGTAGAGCCTTGTTATATGCCTGAGTTTGGACTTAACATTACTGAATTTGCAATATATATGGGCAATTTGAAATATTTTTGTATTTGAATAACGAAACATATTGACAATTAGAGCTCTTTTTTCTTTTAATATACAGGTGTGTGAGACTCCAAGAGACATTCAAATCTTAAGGTTTATAGTAACAGAGATTTTGTAGCTTGGATGAAAAGAATGTAAGGGGAGACCATGACAGAGTTACATATAATCATATGAAGCAACATTTTTCTGGTGGGGCAAGCAGAACAATTGGAGATAGGTGGTCCCACAAGTACCCTGGCCTGTGCCTTATATGGGTTTATAGATGACAACCAGAAGCTTGAATCGCACCTGGATATCCACCAAGAGCCGGTGCAGCTTCAGGAACCGAGGTTGTATATGGGCATATCATGAAGCATATAAAACTGCTCCTTCCACTCATTTTGGAACAGCTGCAGCTTCCAAATGCTCTTCAAGGGCAGCCCCATGTAGGGCACTTTATACCAATACACCCTCCTGGTGGATAAGGCGTGAGTTACTGTGGACTTCCCAGTCCAGAAGCTGGCACAATTGGTGCACAAGATGAACTGGTGCAAAGGTCCTCTTAGCCATGGCTGCTACCTGCTCTTCAAGCAGGAGCCATGAAGCTAAGAAGATCCCGAAATTGCACACCCGCTCTATCTGGGGAAGTGCTGCTGCATTCAGTGATAAATATGAAAACTCTCCAGAACTGGAGAAGTATCAAAACCCAGAGCTACTTAGTATTACCAGGGTTAGCTGAACCCTGTTTTTCCCCATCCAGATGCCCACAGCCTCCAGTCTCTGGACCAGAACCTGGTGGCATTATTGGTCAATGAGTCAGGTATGTATAATTGGATATCATCAGCATACTGATGATACCTCACCCCATGTCAATGATGATCTCACCCAGCAGGTTCATATAAGTGTTCAGTGTTTCTCAAACTTGGCAACTTTAAGATGTGTGTACTTCAACTCCCAGAATTGTAAGAGTAAGTAGATTCTTTAGTTTGGGACCTTGAAAAATCACAGTATGATATAATTTGAAAAACTGATGGTTGAGTCCACATGTTTTCCTCTTACCCCTTGTGCTTGTCATTTACAATGCAAGGCTTACAGAGAGGGAATTTTTTTGAGTGTATGAAAGCCATTCTAAGAACCTTTTCAACTGAAAAGAAGACTGAAAATGCAAGAGAAAGAAAAGAAACTCTTGGAAAGTCTTTCTGAAGGGCAGAATATATAGGATTAAGGGCCCACTTGTCTTTTCATACCATTTTAATTGCTCCTTATTTTTCCAGCTCTGGAAACCAGGTTCTAAGTACAGCCCCAAGCAACCCATGCCATGTTCAATGGCATCAGTGCTCATAGAAGAGGAAAAATGTAAGTGCACCTGCTCTCACTCTCTCAGCACTAAGCAGGATGAATCCTGCCTATGCTAGTGTTTCAGTGGGCAGGGGAGAGAAAAGAACATAAGTTGTTCTTAAAAGACTGCTAGCCCCTGGTCAAAAAAGGCCCCATTCTCCTTGGATATCATACCTCCATAGCCTTCTTCACATGCAAAAATTATCCATCCCACAGCAGTTGCCCAAAGTGTCCGATGAACAGCTTGGTAAATGGCAACTAAAGGTGAGTAGAAGCTGAGGGAGTCTTCTAAGGTGTAGGCCAAAGCAACCACCATCAACATGGAGAACATTGCACAAAGCCACCCAACAGAGGCCTGAACCTGCAGGAAGATGAGAATAATGTATGACATTTGTATTCATCTTGATTCATCCATAGCATTTTGCAATACCTTTGTTTCCAATGCAGGCTGAACCAGTCTCTTCTTACAGCTAGTCTCCTATTCCTCCTCTTTGGACACTTTCTTCTGCCCTCCATTTTGTCAGCCTCTTTGCATCCCACCCTCTACTCTACAGATTGCTTACCTTTTATATAGAGCCTTCCTTTTTGATGTGACTTCTTATAGCCATTCCAAAAATTGCCATTGAATTTAAATTTTTATGTGACAGGAGGGAGACATTATTAGATATGAGGGGAGTAATCATACAGTTATAATATTAATTTATTTTTTAATTTAAATTAGATATAGTAAGTTTTCTATCCATGTGGTCAAGATAGGAAGAGTGTTGACACTTTTGAATTTTGGTGTTGGAAAAGACTCCTCCTATCATGGACAGCCAAGAAAACAAACCAATATATCATAGAACAAATCAATCCAAAGTTCTCACAGAAGAGCCATGAAGGACTTGGAAAAGTTACTCAAATACTGTGAAGTGTCTATATCTACAAAGATTAGAATACTGCAAGCAACAGTATTCCCTGTGACACTCTGTGGAAGTGAAAGTTGGACTTTGAAGAAGCAGAATAGGAAGAGTATTGATGCTCTTGAAAGTTGGTGTTGGAGAAGACTCCTGAGGATACTGTGGACAGCCAAGAAAACAAACCGATGGATCATCAAACAAATCAACCCAGAGTTCTCACTCAAGGCACAAATGACTAGGTTCAAATTATCCTACTTTGGACACATTATGTGAAGACCCAGCTCTCTGGAGGAAGCTCTAATGCTGGGAAAGGTGGAATGAAAGAGAAGAAGAGGACAATCAGCAGCAAGGCAGATGGAATTAGTTACAGTGGCAATGGGAATACTGCTGGATGACCTGAAAGACCAGGTTAGGGATAGAACATCATAGAGAAAATCTATCTATGTGGTTGCTAAGAGTCAACAACAACTTGATGGCTCATCATCATCATCATCATCATCATCATCATCATCATCATCATCATCATCTAGTAAGTATCTAATCAATTAAAATTAATAGGTTTTCTCCTATCCTATCCATTTCTCAGCTTTGGTCCCATCCATGGACTATAGTTTGACTCCCAACACATCACTTCAAGGCTACATGCAGGTCTTAACCTTGTTCTCCTAAAATTACCCTGTCTCAGAATTAGCAAAAGATCAGCTCCTCCCTCCCTTTCCCATTTTCATATGATTTCCCTTTCAGTTTTCTCTTTAGCCAGCATTCAACTGGCAAGCGTCCTTGTAGCCCTTTACGAACATAAAATACCCCCCAATAAAAGTATTAAAATCTAACACAGTAAGACAGCCAATATAAATGTTTTAAAAAGCAGCAGTAAAACTGATAAAAATAGCACATTTAAGATCAAATGCCTACTAGACCAGGGAGGCTAGTCTCAACCTGATATCTACATACACTGCAAGGATATCTGCCTTGGGAGGGCATTTCACAGATGCCACCTATTGGAAATGCTCTTTGTCTGGTAACTGCCTCTCACCTTATCATAAGCAATGGCACCTAGAGAAGATCCTCCATAAATACAGGAAGAGACACTCTTTCCAATGGTAAACCACCATTATTATTTGTTCCCCAAACTAGAAAAAAATAGAACGTGTTTTTTCTAGTTTGGAGCTCTAGTCATAGTTTCCTGACTAGTTACATTTCAATCCTTTCTTCTGACAACCCCCCTCCCCATATTGATGTATGCTACTTTTCTTGTCGAATTCCTTCTAATTCATAACATGCCTTCAACACATCTCTATGAGATCAAGAATTATTTGCCCAAGGTAACCATTCACGCAATCATTTCAAATGACTCCAGTATCAGAAATCAAAGGTACTCCCTTACTGGCCAAAACAGAGTACTCCGGGCATCCTTAATTAGTATTTCATGCCAATAAAAACTTTGCTTCTGTAAATATGACTCATCCTTTCTTTGTTTTGCACAGGAATGAGATAGCAGCAGACCCAAGAGAACCACACAGCTTGTAGAAATACAGAAAATGTTCCAGGGAAAAAAATAATTGGAAACAACCCCATGAGAACAGAAGATGCTTAGTGGGCAAGGAATACTGCTTGACTATTGTATGGTGGAATAATGGAAAGATGAGAAAAGACAATGGAAAGGAATAGCCTAGAAGAAACCTTGTAGGAAAGCATTCCATATGTTTTATTGTAGATCCCACTTGGTTTTCTTAGCATTTCCCATCCTGGAAGGAGGCCACCACATGGAACTTGAAGAACTTCTCTTTGCCCCAGACTGCTCAGTGAAGCAGAAGAAGCCAGGATCTGGAATATCTGTATGTGGCATTGGCAACACTATGGGGATGTGAGAGCAGGAAGAGGAAAATCTGGAAAACCCAACCCTTAAGGGTCCACACTCTAATTCAGAGTATCAATTAGTTGTGGCTATAGAAAAGCAAATATAGAACAAATCAAATTTATTCAGAGATGTGAGCCTTGTCCCACACCTTAAATTTCTGAGAGACAGAGAAATAATGATGTATTCCATGTGAAGGCTCTCATCCAAAGCATACCTTCCTCAATAAACATCCTTAAAACTGCAATTTTATTTTAATTTTCAATTCGTGATTCATTCTTGCCCTCAGTATGCCAACAACAGGACAAAGGTTCTGTGGAGTCCAATTCCATTTAGGCTACTTATTCATACTGTATATGTAATCCCCAATCCAGTTTCAGACTGCCCTGATCAGTCTTCCCTGGTCTGGTCTCCTCTAGGTACATTTGATTTCAGGAACAGAGCCATGACAGTGAAACCAGTATAAATCCAGAACATCTTTAATTGTTTTGTTAAGCAGATCTCTCATTCACCTTGGTTCTTAGGACTGATGCTTGGTGGTGATACATGAACAGTCCAAGAAAGACACCAATGAGAAATGGACCATATCGGCAGTAAGGTTTTGAGTAATACTCCAGAAAATACATCTCAGTGGACGTTTGCCTGAAAGCAGAGTGGAAATTATTTTGGTGAAACTTAAGTGGGCAAAAAAGAACAAATAACTATTATGAACTAAAGCTTGTTTGGTCAGTGACTGCCTTTTGAAAAGGTAAATAAGAGAAAAGATCTCAGACAATTATGAATAAATAAATAAATCAGCTGGAAGAAATCTTCATGAATGCTATTTTTTTTCTAGAGATGCCAACTTTTGTTTTAAAAAATCTGAAGGATTAGTTCAGAGCAAACAGCTAACTTCCCTAGAAGACTTTCTTTCTTAGCAAGGATCAAGGAGCCCGTGTCGCTGTGAGGCTGTCCTGAATATTTTTCCTTTCTCTGTCTTAGGAACTATCCAAGCATTTCTTGGTTCTCAGATCTTAACTTTAGTTATTACAATAGTGATAACTGACCTATGGTTGTTGCCTCCTCTAAGACTAAATGAACTCTTTGGAACAGGGTGGACAATTTAGATTATTTGGCTTACCTATAAGCCAATTTTATCCACTCACAAAGCTGTAGTATTCTTGCAAATTTCATCCAACTGTGTTAGAAATAATGATATTGCAAACAGTTCTATGTTCTTCAGTTGGAGATGCAGAACTTTGGAGTCTCCAATTCTCACTTTAGATATGGATGCAATTCAGATTGGGGCACCTTAGTTTGAACCATTTCAAGTCAGTTGTGTTCCAAATTCCTAATTGGGGGCTGTATTTAGTCTTAGAGGTCATGAATACTCTTAGTAGCTATGTATGTATTGGGGGGGGGGGGTTGTGCCTTGATCTATATTGAATTATTTCAATTTTTGGTCTAATGATATTAAGTCTTGACCAGAACTCTGACTTTTTATAATGCTAACCTTTTTCAGCTACAACAAAGTCTTTTAACTACAGCCTGTAATGGCTATTTCTTTATTCTCAATGTCCCTGTTTCTTCGTACCAACTTTCTCTTTTTCTCTCTTTCAAAAACATTGCAGGAAAGATTCAACTCAAGTTCACAAACCAATTTTGGATTCTTCTCAGCCTCTCAGTAAGTGACCAACTATGTATGAAGCCATTTTAAAGATCCTTACCTCATATCTTGTGGGTTTGCCACAGGAAGTCTGTAGAACAGTGAAAGCAAGGCTGTAACTGTAAACATTGCCAGGAACAGAAAGATCCCCAAGATGACAAGCCAGTATTTACTTCTGCCAAAAAGAAAAACAGAAGCAACAGAATTTCACCTATGTACCTAGAGGGCTGCTTTTATATTTTTTGGATAGGTGGCACTTAATCCCCTGGTATAAATAAAAATGATACTAGTTTTCCAGAGAAACGGGGTTATCCTGCAGTGAGATGGGTGGTAACAGATTTGAAATATAAATAAATAAAATAAATAAATTATTCATTTTTAAACTGTGAGTAGAATAAGGTAAAATAACACTTGTTTTGAAATGCAGAGAATAGAGACTCAAATGAGGCCTGATTAATTTAATGTTCATTCGTTCTAAGACAAATGCATAGAAAATCGCATAAGACCCTCATTCATAACCATTTGCAGTAAGTAGGGTGGGGACTTCCTGGCCTCCAACAGAGTCACCTTAGGACCTGCCATTTCCCCCCAGATATTTCTAAAGAGCAGAACAACCAGATATTTATATTTCAGTATTATGGAGTAATATTCCTCCATAACACTGAAAATATTACGTATTCCTGAAAGATACTTACTTGGTGGAAAGAAAGACTAGTGGGGGTGTTATGAAATAAAACTGGAAATCATTTGCAAGATACCATGTCCATCCATTACACTGAAAAGCACACAGAAAACATACATTTTAAAAATAGGCAGCTATATACATAAAGACAGACTACATGCACGAAGGACATTTTTGCTTCTAAGTTTTAAACTGCTCTGTGGTACAGTTGTTGATTTTCCAGGATCATGGTGAGTATCAAGGGATATCTTTATAGCTACTCAGTTTTAATTTCTAGAGGAAAGGTTGCTAGGTCCCAAATCTTCCTAGAAAGGATAACCTATAATTTGGGAGCTCTTTCCCTTAGCAGACGATTCCATTCTTTGTTTATCTTTAAACTTTTTGTGCAAAGGGTAAGCAATATTTCTTAATAACGTGGTTTAAAATGCAGAGTGATCCAGCTCATTTTTTCTTCAACTTGATATGCAAAAGATATTTCTCTGTGTATATAATCAACATTCAGTAGATCTGCAAAAACATCCCCATAGTTAATTTTTAAAGGACATTTCACTATGCATCTTGAGGTATTATACATGATGGACACATTCAGTACTAATTATACAGGTAGTCCTTGGCTTACGACCACAATAGGGATCGGAAAATTCATTGTTAAGCAGTGTGGTCATTAAGCGAGGCTTCATGTGACTGCATCCGATTTTAATACGTTTTTTGTGGCAGTTGTCAAGCGAATCATGTGGTTCCCCATTTTGCTTGTCGGAAGCCAGCTGGGAAGGTTGCAAATGGTGATCACATGATCCTGGGACGCTGCAACTGTCATAAATACATGTCAGTTGCCAATGCCTTAATTTTGATCATGTGACTGCGGGGATGCTATGACAGTTGTAAGTGCAAGGACTGGCTATAAGTCACTTTTTTCAGCACCGTTGTAACTTTGAATGGTCTCTAAATGAATGGTCATAAGTCGAGGACTACCTGTATTACCTAGCTCTTACATTATATAAAAGATATAGTCATCTTCAGCAGCTGTCAGCCTTACAAGGTAGACCCGACAGGAAACATGACCAGATAAATTAATTCTACTTTATTGTAAAGTTACATTAACAGAATCTTGAAAGTCTGAAAGTACAATTCTCCCATCATCCCCTTTATAGCCTAAGAAACTAGAGAAGGTCTCTTCTGAGCCTCTTGCCCCTCCCACTATCTAGTTGTGGGCTATGCTGTCTCTCATCTGACCATTCCCTAGACAGCATCTCTTCACCCCATCTCCCAAGGTCTTTCCACATACCATTACAGCTGCTGACCTTCCAATACATGTGCCCTGAGCTATCATGCCAATGGCTGACGAGTGACTCACAAATTTCTTCTTTTCTCTTCTCTTCCCTGTCTACAACCACAGTCAGGAGGACTGGAGAAGAAAGACATGGAAACCAGGCCTTTCCACAAACAAACCAAGAGCATTCCATTGTAGAAACTTACTGACTCAGGCCCAGCAATGAAGTTGTTTATCAGGAATAGGTTGGTCCACCACACTCTTCTACAGTTATCCACCTCAAGTTTCAAGAATTCCCACAGTGCTCCCCAAGGAGTGACAGAATACAACCCAACCAAAAGACACACAGAATACATATGGAGTGGCTGAAGTCTATAAATGCAATGACAGTAAAAATAGTGAGATTGTCAGGCATTGTGAGCTTCACAGCTGATTCCCCTTTAGAGGGGTGTCTGTGGGGTGTGGTTAAAAAAAGTCAAGACGGCAGCCATGATGACATGATTGAAGCCTGGTGTGTGTTTTTGTGTGCATTGTGAAGCACATAAAAAACAGAAGAGCTTCAAATGGCACCATTACGGTGCCATCTTGACTTTTTTTAACCACACCCCACAGACACTCCTGACCCTTTAACTTATTTCCGTATACCGAAGTGCATTTATTGATTTAACTTTTTAAAATGCCTAAGTTGGGAGTAGGGTGGCATACAATTTTATATTATTATTATTATTATTATTATTATTATTATTATTATTATTATTATTATTATT